AGTTTAAAAATATCTTTTTTTTGAGAGGAAAAACATAACATATTAATTTTAGGAACCGATTTTGCAATAACCTGTGACATTTCAAGTACAGTTAAGCTTTTAAGACTATCACATTCTAGCTGAGCTATTGAATTATCATGTTTAGACACATTGCCAGAATTTCTTAAATTCTGCATACCTATACATTCAGTGAATTTTGCTGAATAAACTCAACTAAAGGAAATGTTGAGTAATACTTTCTATTCTAAGAGACAATTAGTTTACTTTTTAAGGAAAACTAACAGGAATAACTACATTTTAACATTAATAAAATTTGAATTGAAAATTAGTAAAGTTACATACAAATTTATATCATCTTAAGAAATCTGTTTTTGCAATGCCAGATAGGTCAGGGATTGGGAAGGTGGAGTGTGATAATCCCTTTCAATAAGTGCTGCACCTCATGGTTCTACCCAGTTTCTTTTAAATAAGTAAGTTTCCACAACTCCTCTCAAAAAGTCATAAAAGCAGCATAATGACAAGTATTTAAGACAACAACTTTTTCAAAGTTGATTAGGGATTTGCCACTGCTGGATGAAAATGATTTTATAATGCTAAATTTGAGCATACATTACATTTGTCACTTTATTAAGTATTTATTACACAAATGCAAAAGACCTCTTGATCATTTTGTACAATCACCAATCATATCAACAGTCATATATCTTCTACTTTATAGACAAAAGAAAGATTAATTTATATTGGCATAGGTACAAAGAAGTTTAGGGATACTTAACATGTAACAATTATATTAAAGCAATGAGTATACTTTTACCTGTCAATTATACAAGCATATGTTCAATGAATCAATAATTTTTATGTAATGTTATCAGACAAATTTTCATTAGCAAATAATCAAGCTACCACATCACTGAAACCTACCAGGTTAGCCATATTTGGATGCAGATCTGAAAGCGCAGTGAAGGCGTTTGATGAAAAGGAGTTTGCCATTTTTTAATCTACATTTTAAAAGATTAAAAAAAGGGTAAAATTTAATTGTATAAATTAAAGCTCTAAAACTATGAAAAATTTCAAAACTTAAAAAAACTAGGAAAGCACTAAATATTTTATTCATTTATTTAAAAAGTATTCATTATAATAGTGAAACATAAATTAATGTAGATGTAGCCTGATAGGAAAAATATTTAAAATGCCCTTTCATTGCAAGGTATACTGATACATGCCTGTAATCTCAGTACTTGGGACGCTGAGGCAGGAAGGTCACCAGTTCAAGATCAGCTACAGCTACATAGTGAGTTCAAGGCCAACCTGAACTGCACAGTGAGACTCTGTCTCAAAAAATATTATCCTTTACAGTCCCAGGTAATCTAGATGCTGAAGTGGGAGTTCAAGGCCAACCTGATAGGACTCTATCTTAAAAAAACAGAAATAAAAACAAATACAAAACCTATGTGAAAGACATAACTAGATTTCAATCTTTCATTTTCTGTGTGTGTGTGTGTGTGTGTGTGTGTGTGTGCGCGCGCTTCTTATTTTTTGAGACATGATCTCACTATGTAATTCAGACTGACCTTGAACTTACTATGGAGCCCAGGCTGGCCTTAAACTCTGGGTGATCCTCCTGCATCAGTCTCCCAAGTGCTAGAATTACAGGTGTGCGCCACCATAGCCATGTTTTGTTTTTTAAAATTATGCAAAACTTAGCAATTTTTAAATACTATGTAAATTTAGAGTTTCAGATGAGAGATGATTCAGTGAGATATTTGAATATATGTGCTGCTGAAGTGATCATTCAGTAGGACATTTGCAAATTTACATATTTATTGGCATCAAGCCTAACTAAAAACTAAAGCAAAGTTGTATTGTAAACACCTCAAGTCATAAATTTAGTTACATTGTGTTAGAAGAAAGGTAGTAATTTTAAAGATACCTCTAGATGCTGATCTTATGAACAAAAAGGTAATGTCCGCTGGCCAGATAGCTCAGTGGATTAAAGCGCCAGTTTAGGCAGACTCTGTGAACAGAGTTCAATCCCCAGCGTGCTGTGCTGGACCCAGCCCCAGGGCATACTGAGACAGCGATTGAGATTGGGCATGGTGGCATGCATCTGTAATCCCAGCGCTTGGGAGGCTGAAAACAGGAGTATCACTACGAGACCAAATCTGTGTAGTGAGACCCTGTAGATTGTATATTAAATTTTTTAAAAAGAGCAATGTCTTACATGTTTTTATGTGTGTGGTTTTGAGGGGAAAGGGTTGGAAGGGATGGAGGGCTTGATAAGTTGTCCAGGCTGGTGTCCAATTCCTGAGTACGAGGGAATCTCCCACCTCAATGTCCCAGAGTTCTGGGACTGCAGAAATATGTGCATTTCAGTGCTACCTAGCACATAGAAAATACCCATAAACATCACATGAATGAATCATGACTTGCCCATAAATATCATCACTATAAAAGGCTTCATTATATCTAAAACTGTAAAGTGAACCAAACTAACAGTCTGACTTGATTTCATTTTGTGAGTTAAATAGCTTTTGTAAATCTGGGAATACTCTCACCCACAGACTTCAGTTGAAGAAAGTGTTCCCTAACACCTGAGTTCAGGGAACCTGAGGAGTTCATTAAATATCACTTTGAATTCCAGAACCACTAGGTTGTAATTACATGTTTTGACATTATTGAACTTAATTTCCCCATCATGAAAATGTGGATAATTGACCGGCGCTGAGAAAAGACAAGACAGGGACTCCTTCTTTGTCTTTAGACTTCTTTATTCTCAGGCCTTCCTCCCTCCTTGCCTTCCTCTCTCCTAACCCCCCTTCTTATATCCCCCCCGCGGACCTATCAGAGGGAGCCAAGTATATCGTCCGACACAGACAATAGGCCAACAGCCAGTTGCCTCGCAGGGCTGTGCGAACCAATCAAATCTTGCCAGCAGGGACCAGGGCTATACAGGAAACAAGACTCGTAGCAGAAGCTCCAGCGGGAGGGGCAAGGCTGAGGAGCAGGGCGCCCGCGCCCGACAGATAATATCACTTGCAGTGAGAATTTTCAGTAGCGTGCACAAGGATGTTCATAGGCTCTCAATAAATAATAGCATTACTTTTTAATATTAGCCAGTGTAGTGTAGCACTTTTTGTATCTAAGGCCTTCTGGTACCAGAAGAAATAATTGGTAATTAAGCAGCAAAATTTCTCTCTCATTCTTTGGCCTCATCAGACCTGGCTATGAAATTTCACTCTCTGAAATATTTGTCAAACAATGACAGATTCATGTACTCATCCATACATTTAAGAAATATTTATTAAGAGCCCAGCATGATGGAACATGCCTTATAATCCCAGCCTTTGGAGGCTGAGATAGGAAGATTGCCTGAAGTTCAAGGCCAGCCTGGACTACATAGTGAGACCCTATGTCAAAAAAACAAAGCAAAGGGCTGGGAAGATGGCTCAGTGGAATAATTACTTGCCTGGCAAGTGCAAGGGTCTGAGTTCAATCCCCTGGTTCCACAAAAAAAAAAAAAAAAAAAAA